GGAGGGTGGTGGAGGGGGGGTTGTTCTTGATATGGGGGACTTGAAATGGCTGGTTCAGCAGCAGCCTGTGACTGCAGGAGTTTCGGGGTCGGGCGCAGTGCAGGTCCAGCAGCAGGTTGTTCCAGAAGGGGGGCGTGCTGCCGTGGCGGAGATGGGGAAACTTCTGGCCAAGTATGGCGATGCTGGTTGCGGTGCTCGGCTTTGGTTGATTGGTACTGCAACTTGTGAGACATACTTAAGGTGTCAAGTCTATCATCCTTCCATGGAGAATGATTGGGACCTGCAGGCTGTGCCCATTGCTGCCCGAGCGCCTCTTCCCGGTTTGTTTCCAAGGTATTCTTTGCAATCCCTACTTCGATTTTTACCGGTTTATTAACAGTTAGTTTGAATTATATTTGCTGGGATGTTGAATCAGAATTTTTGCTCTGTTAATAGAATCCATCTGATATGCTTACATAAACTTGATTACTTGACCATTGCGTATAGAATTCCAAGATTAGAAAAGATTTGATCTGTTCATTCTAACAAGAAAAGAATGAAAATTTTCCATCTCCTAGACTCAACTTGACTTTAGTAAACAGCTTGGAGTTCTCAAATTCCGCTGCTGGTTTATGGTTTTTCTTCTTTTTAATTCATGAAACTTAATCTGTGTCCTGTTTATTAGGCTTGGTACTACTGGGGTTCTTAATGGCCCGGTTGAATCGTTATCATCGATCAAGGGATTTCCGACTGTTTCCACCATTCCGATGCGACAGGTGATGCCTGAGAACCTGGACTCTGCTCGAAGATCAACAAGTTGTTGCTCAAAATGCATGACGAGTTACGAACGGGAGCTAGAAAAACTTGTAGCCAGTGAGTTCGAGAAGCCATCTTCTTTAGCTAAACCAGAAGGGGCTAAAGCATCTGCTCTCCCTCCGTGGCTGCAGAATGCTAAGGTCCAAGATGAAGATTCGATGAAGAAACAAGAGACGACCGAGGTAAAGTCTGCTGTAATTCATGGTTTACTTGTTGGTAATCATTATTGGCAATCTGCATCTGTAAAATGAGCAACCTTTCCTGTTTCAGAACTTGAATAAAGAACTCGTTGGAAAGCAGAAGACTCAAGAACTGCAGAAGAAATGGCATGATACGTGCTTGCAGCTGCATCCTAGTTTCCATAATCTAAACAAGTTCGGTTCCGAGAGAACTGTACCGATGTCTCTCCCTATAACAGGCTTGTACAGTCCGAACTTGCTCGGGCATCATCCTTCTTCCCAACCCAAGTTACAACTAAAAGGATTGGGCGAAACTCTGCAACTAAAACCAAACCCACTCCTCACCAGCAAACCACCATCGGAGCAAGTACTTCCGATGTCGCGATTGGGCAGCCCTGTTAGAACAGAGTTGGCTCTTGGGCGAATGAACAGTGAGATCTTGGCCGAGCAAACACATAAAGAGCGTGTGAAGGACTTTCTCAGTTGCATATCTTCCRAACCCGAGAACAAAATATGTGAACTGCGGAGTAGTAAATTTGTCAATGCATCAGATATTGACTCGTACAAGAGGCTGTTCAAAGGTATGTTAGAGAAGGTATGGTGGCAGCAAGAAGCAGCGTCTGCTTTGGCTACAACTGTGACTCAGTTCAAATTGGGGAACGGAAAACGACGCGGTACTGTCCCGAAAGGAGACATGTGGCTCTTGTTCTTGGGTCCCGACCGGGTTGGAAAGAAGAAGATGGCAACTGCTCTTGCAGAGCTGGTATCTGGGTCCAGTCCTGTAACCATTTGTCTTGGCTCAAAACGTAGTGATGGAGAATCAGACAGAAGTATCCGTGGTAGAACCGTGTTGGATCGAATATCAGAGGCCGTTAGAAGGAATCGATTTTCAGTCATTGTGCTCGATGATATTGACGAATCAGATCTGCTTGTCCGTGGAAGCATAAAAAGAGCGATRGAGCGAGGTCGGTTCACCGATTCTCATGGCAGGGAAATCAGTCTTGGTAATATCATCTTCATCCTTACAGCAAACTGGATACCAGATGATCTGAAACACTTGTCCAATGGGAACCCGCTCGAGGAAGAGAAGCTTGCTAGTTTAGCAAGAACTACTTGGCAGTTGAAACTATCCCTCAGCGAGAAGACAGTTAAACGTCAAGCTGAATGGGTGCACGGTGAAGAGCGGTGTTCGAAGCCCAGAGTGGAGACTACTGGTTCAGCCATAGCATTTGATCTCAATGAAGCTGCAGATGCAGAGGACGAGAAGACAGACGGGTCACTGAATTCAAGTGACGTAACAACCGATCACGAAACCGAGCACGGCCATGGCCACAGCCTCAACCCTCGACAGTTATCGTTCACAACTCCATCGGCATCACGAGAGATGTTCAATTCAGTCGATGATGCAGTCGTCTTCAAACCGGTGGACTTCGCCCCAATCAAGTATAACATCACGAGCTCCATCAACAAGAAATTTTCATCCATTGTTGGAGAAAAGATCTCACTTGAACTACAGGAGAATGCTCTTGAGAAGATCACAAGCGGGGTATGGCTCGGGAACACGAATGTCGAAGAATGGACCGATAAAATTCTCATACCGAGCTTGAAAGAGCTCAAGGCTTGTCTTCCGAGTGCGGCCACCTTCGAGTCCATGGCAGTCAGACTCGAGTCCGATGACGACTCGGGTTGCTGGGGCTCGGAGAATCAGCTGCCTTGTAGCATCAAGGTGGTTGTGGGGGAAAAACTGTGAAATTGCAGAGGGTGATTGCAGTTGGAATTTTGTAACTTCGGTTGGATAGAGATGTAAATACGCTTGAATGGAAGGGTAAAACAGTAAAAAGAGAGAGAAACATATTAAAAAAAAAAAAGGTTAAAAGGGATATGGGAGGGAGGCTGAGACGGCTCAGGCTATGTTTACTTTTTTTTTCTCCACTATTTTTTTTTAATTATTTGATTTCTTTATGTTTTACCTCTAAATTTATAGCAATGAAGAATTATAGATATTATTTTAGTGAAATTAGGGTGATGGTTATTAGTTTTCGATATAGCTTAATTTTTATTTTTTTGGCTTGGTTACAAAGGAAGGGTAAAGTTGTCATTTTGCTTCCAAATCCGATCGAGGAAACCATTGATTTGATGGTTAATAATAAAATGCCCAATTTTACTTGTGCATCAATTATTAAATCATTATATTTATTTTCCAATTCAAAATATTAGAAATTTTTTTTAAGTATAAAATGTTGGTGGGGTCGAATTCACAACTTTTTTATTAAAGATATATGTCAATGTCAATTACCACTTAACTAGTCAAAATATTAGATTTAGCATGTAATATTAAAAAGTTTTAGTCGAATCTTTGGATATGTTTTTAGTTAGATGTTGTTTTTATATGACAATRTATTCATTAAATTAATTTTAGTTAAATCGGTGTGATGCAACATGTTTATTAAATTAAATAAATCGTGYGTAATATGTCTATTAAATTAAATAAATAGTGTGATGTTACATGTTATAAAAATTAAATAAATTAAATTTTTTAAACCTAACTTTTAAATTGATTAAAGTATTTAAAAGTTGTGTTGGTTGAGAAGGATGCTAATTATTGAAAGATAAGATTGATTTCTAAAGTGGTTAGTGGTGCTAAGTCAACTAAATTGAAAAGGGATGATATCTCTAATTAAATTGTATTTTTGCTTTTAGTTATCATATGAAGACCAAATATTTAAGATAAAAAAAAAGTACTTTAGAAGCAAACATAGGAAGTGTATTTGTCAAACCAAATGATATTGATTGTAAGTTAAAAAGGCATATAAACAATAAAAGATAGTTAGAAAATTTGTTTCACACGTGTAAATCTTTTACGTGCAAAGAAAAAAAAATCGTCACACCTGTTAATTCCTTTTTAATCCTTATTTATGTATGATTAAAGAGCGGGCGATTTGTTGGTAGGAAATTTAGATACCTAGTATCTTTATGTTGAGATAGTGAAAACTTAATCATCAAATAGGTTCGGTTCAAGCTCTAACTTAAACTCCATCAGAAGGCTSATGGAGCCTATAAGTGACGGAAGAATTTGAAACAATTAAATTCTACGTTAAGTTACGTCATTATAATTTTAAGATTATATATATAATTTTTCTTCGAAAATTGTGTAAAAAAAAATTCTTTGAAGAATGTAGTTGAGTTTACCTTATTAAAACAAAAAAAAAAGAAAAAAAAATCTAAATTAGGGTAAAGTTATGTTGGACTATAAAAGTCTACTCTTAAGATTAATTAGGTCACAATGAAATGACGTGTTTTTGGACAATTTTAAAAGTCTCCTGATGAATATTGGGATTCTTTTGGCGATGTTTTCATTGCCGTTTAATTTGACTTGCGAATTTTGAACTAATTTAATAACTTAAATTTAAGTTATAGTAAATGATTTTAATATGAATAGTTAATTTAAAAGACATAAAGACCCCATATATATATACATAGAATAAAGAAATATATGAAAATAACGATATTATCTCTATTTTCATGTTGTTTTTATTTTTAACATCCTTCTCTTGCCACGTCAAATAAATTTATTGTGTTTTATATATACAATTAGATTTGAATCTCATTTGCTAATCTAAACATAATTCAATTGGTTAAGATAATCATGTGTAACTAAAAAGTTGAATATCATCTAAATCTTATTATTTAGTTATTTTATTTTGACAGTTGAAATTTCCTTATTTCGTTTTGATTTTTAAACTTTTTAAGTGTCTTACTTTTATTAAACAGTCCTTCAACCTTTAAATATATTGTCTGGATTTTGAAATATAGATGAAATGCAAAGAACATACCAAAAAAATTGCATTCTCCTAGAACCTCCTACGAATCATAGTCCCGCCTAGTTAGACTCTCAATATAATAATAGCTTGATGAAACTTAAGGTGTCACTGTCCGAACGACAGTTTCAAATCATAAAAAGAAAGACTCTCAGGCTTTAAATATAAAACAAACTTAATTTTTAAAAAATAGAAAACTAAAAATGAAATTGTTATAATTATCGTGATCCGGCTAAACCCTATTGAATGGATTAACTTTTTCATTTAAAAAGGAAGAAAAAAAACAAACAAACATATGCAATCTAATCCCCATGCATGGTATGTGGAAGGCCAACAAGATCTTCAGCCATAATTTTGAACACAAAACAAACCCATAAATGAAAATGCATGTTCACCACCCACTTTATTAGACCATTGAAAAAGAAGAAGAAAAAAAAGGGTTATTTCTCATGTTTTTCAAGTGAATATTGACAAAATGCAGTTTTTGCATTATCAATTACATACATTTCTAGATTTTTGATTTGACCCTCATTGATTGACATGCATGTGTTTTCATTTAATAGGTACACTTTGCCTTATTTTCTTTTTTCATTTTTGTTTTTGGGAAGATTGGTCATTTTTTCCATCTTTATCCCTTCATTTCAGCTTCTCACCAACCATAATTGAGGAGCTTAATCAATTTCATATTTTAAATGTTTTTCTTGTTAGGGAAATTATTCAAAACCCTATTTGATTTGATGGCTTTTTTTTTCCTTTTAGTATGTTGAATCATTTCTTTTCCATCTTGTGAGAAACAAAAGATTATATTTTAAGTTAAANGTCTAATGCATCTTTGACTTTTCAATTTGATATATGATAAATTTCTGAAGTTAAAGTGTTCAATAAATTTCTGAATTAAATAAAAACATATAGAAAGTCCCTAAAATTCAAACAATGTATTAAATATATGATTGAACTTCTAATATAACTTAGAATTTTACAAATCACCAAACAAAACACATGAAACCAAATAAAGTGCTTTTTTCCCTTTTTTGAGTTCGGACAGATAAATTTTCAATAAAAAAAATTATATTTATATATATATATATGCATACATGTGTGTGTTTTTAATACAATATATGATAAAAGAATTGAAACCCACGATCTTTTGATTAAAATAAATGTCTTAACTAATTGAGTTATACTTAGATCGGTAATTATATTAATTTTTTAAAATATATAATTATTTTAAAACATCACTTCGAACCGCCCATAGTTTTTCAATATGGTAATAATTATTAACTACAAATTTATCTTTAAATCCACAATAAAATCAAAAGAGTGCAGGGATCTATGAAAATAAAAAATTTAAGCAAAGCTAAGGATTATCTAAAACAAATTAAAAATTGTAATATGATATTATATTTTAAATTAAAAAAAATATTGGAAAAGGAAAAGGTGAAAACTAAAGGAGGCTGATCAGTTTGACTTAGAAACTCAACTTTTCCTTTAAAAAAATAATAATAAATAAAAAGTTACCTTTTTTATCATTTAAAGATGGTTTACCTTTGCGTGTTTTTGAATGTTTACTAACCTCTAATTAAAGCCAAAGCAAGTTTAAAAGCTAATTGCATTTTTCTACTTTCTTTTTGGGAAGAAAAGGCAATCCTAAAAGGTGCTTTAGTGTTTTAATTATTTAATTAATCTTTCCAATTTTGTATCATTTTCTTAAACTATGGGTTAAGGTTTTTTTTCTTTTTATTTTTCGAAATCAAAGTCGTGTGGCTTATGTTAATGGATCCTTATAATCGGGGTTCGTTGTCTGGGTTGAGCAATATAGTAACTAGCATAGGACTCGAACACACCTTATGGTAGGTGCTATCAACAAGATTCCCATATCTTTGTCACTATATCATTATTCAGGAGACAACTATAGATTTAGATCTTTACAACAGATAATTTTTGTGAGTTGAGTTAGGTCTATAGAATAAAATTAAAATTCTAACCTAATAATAAATGTTCTATAAAAAAAAAAGTATTTTCAAATTCAGAATAATTATTAAAATATCTATCCGACCGCTCAATATTTTCATAAATCAAATGGTTGGATATTGATATAGAGGTATATTGATATATGTTTAAAATAGAGAAAATATTAATGGG